CACTAAGGTGGGATCAATAAGTCTTATCCTAACTCATGTAAAATATTCAATCATTTTCATTTGTTTCTTTGTTAACTAATTATAATAAGCATTAGAAGTTTATTTTTGAAAATTTGTAGCAACTTGGTTAAAGACATGAGGGGTGATTATTTTAGATTTTTTCTATTTAAAATTACATGAAAATGTTTTATACTTTTATGTCAAATATAATTTTGTTAAAATGATTAAAATTGTTTAATGAGAGCTTGGAACATAAGGGTTTAATAAATCCCTTCTCAATTGAAAATTATCTTAATCTTAAATTTACTTTGAAAATGCATTTATTATTATTTTTCTCTAATCTGTGTATCCTTTCCTTCTCATTTATCTTCATACATACTTCTAGGAAGAATTGTCCTCACCTAAAGTAAAATAAAAGAAAGATTAAGAGCCAACTATTATCCTAAACATCATGATAAAAAATTGCATGGGAAATTATCAAACTTTAATGTAGGGTAGTTTCATGGTTATTTAATATCTAAACATGTTTAAAGATCTAGTTTCTATAATTAACTTGTTAATAGTAATTAGCATTTGGTGAACAAATTTTTCATTATACTTAGGGCCAACTTCAAGAATGAGGTTTAATTATTCGATCCCCAAAATCTTAGAGAAAATGTTTCATCATGCTTTGCTAATTAAACAAAAAGAGAAATTTATCGCTTCTTGATCTAAGAGTCAAGTCCCTAGCCCTTCATCCTAAAGGTCTATTGTTAAATCAATATTTTCTTCTAGTACAACCTACATGTACAAAGCTTCTTTTGAAGGGAGTTTCAAAATATCCTTTTCAAATGTCACAAAAAGATCATTTATAGGATCAATGCATAGTCACATCCTATTTTTAAAAGAAACTAAGGATCTATTAGAGGATATTTTAGAAGAATTTTTTACATATACCTCACTATTAAATTAAGAATTAGAGTTTATAGATGTCCCTTAAATTGCTTAGTGTGATGAATGCCTTACCATAGCCAAGAGAGCAATAAAAATATAGAGAAGAAATTATATCTTTATTATGTGTTTTATGTGTAATGACAAGAGGTGTAGGTTCATTGTGTATGAGATGAGTGCTATGAATGATATTTCAACACATACCCTAACTAAAACCAACCTCCAAATTGAGCCACATCTTAAACCCCTCATTCTTAACACATATACTCCATTCAGTCCATGAAGCTAAAATGGATTTGAAAAAAAATAAAGAAAAAAAAATGCAAACCTACGCAGACAATAGATTCACGAAGGAGTTGGCAAGATCCTCGGCCTTGCTTTGATGTCGGGCCGGAGTCAAGATCTTCGGTCGGAGGGGGCTTATCAGCGACCGGAGGGGGAATGTCGGTGGCTGGAGGAGCATCTCGATCGCGCGAGAGGGCTGCAGAGATAGAGCGACTGTCAGAAGGGAGAGAGAAGAAGTTGTGAGCAAATGAAATGAAAGGCTAGGATGTGTTATTTTAGGGCTTTTTCTGGCAGTGTTTTGGCAGTTAGGGCCGTCGAAACAAAATCACTTAATACCAGTGGTTTAAGCCATCAGTAACGCGACGATAATAACTACTGCCGGACGAATAACCGGTTTGTTATTGTAGGTGACTACACTAGTTTCACTTAGGTCAAGTACATAGATAGTAAAAGTGACTCATTTGATGAGTTTATTTCCTCAATTGGATTCAAAGGAAGTTATGTTGCACTATTGCCACCATTCATAATAACCATGGAGGAGATTTGAAAATAAAATATTTGAATCTTTTATCAAGAGGTTGGGATAGACCACATCTTTTCTACAACTAGTACTCTCTAACCAAATGACATAGTAGAGAGAAAGAATAGGACCTTCGTAGAAGTAGATATAGCCAAATTAAATGAATATAGGCTATATAAATACTTCCAGGATAAGGCATTAAATACAACATGCTATATTCTAAATATGGTGTACGTTAAATCTAATTGAATAAAATATTATACGAGCTTTTAAAAGGTAGAACTCCAAACCTTTCCCACCAAAATATCTATGGATGCAAATGCTTTATATTTAATAATGGCAAATCCAATTTGGGAAATTTTGATGCTAAGTATGATGAAGTTGTGTTTTTAAGATATTCAACAGTAGGTAAATCCTGTATGATCTTTAATAAGTGAACACTAGAGGTAAAAGAGTCAACCCATTTAATTTGATGAGTCTTATAGGGATATTCCACCTTGAGAAGAGGAAGAAGTGGGTGGCATCACCATTAGAATCTAGAATACATGCTTAGAAGATAAAGAAGAAACTCATGATCTCTTGCTTAGAGAGTGAAGATATGCATCTAGTCATCCTAGGGAGCTTATCATATGAGACTCGTCCACTTGAGTTAGGACTAGACATGGACTTATGAAACAAGTTATCCATATATCCATCATTTCTATAGTATAACCCACTAGTATAAAATAAATATTGGAGGATGAATTCTAGATTGTAGTAATGCATAAAGCGTTGAATCAATTTGTAAGGAATAATATGGTGGTGTTAATATCTAGACCTAGTGATCAAAGCATTAATAGAATGAAGCTAGTATTTAGGAATAAACTAAATGACTCTGAATCAATTGTGAGGAATAAGGCTAGGTTGGTTACAATCAAATAGAAGGGATAATTTTGAAAAAAGCTTTGCCCTAGTAGCTAGGTTAAAGTCCATCATGGTACTATTAGTATTTACATGTTTTAAAGGATTAAAGTTATACTAAATGGATGTAAAGAGTATTTTTTTAATGGGGTAATTAAATAAGATATTTATGTAAAAAGTATTCTACGTGATAACTAATAAACTTGATATTATATTTAGTGTTTATCTATGAGCTAGCTAATAAACTTGGCATTATTTTTAGTGTTTATCTATGAGGAATAATATGTTTTGTTGTATTTATTTATGTGTTTATGATTTACTTTTGTTTATTATGTTTAGTTCCCATTTACATGTTATGTGTTTGTGTTGAATTCATTTTTATTGTATTTTTTATTTCTAAATTTTATGTTTTATGTTGTAAGATTGTTTTGTGGAAGCGTTATTGATCATATCACAAATCCTAGAAATTTCTTCACTTCGTACTATACAAAATACATCATACTGCACGATAAATGTAGCGGTCAATAATTATCATTTTAATTATTTGATACAATCATTATTGCCAATTGTATTGTACAATTATCTTTGTCAAACATTCGTATAAGAGACCCCTCGATATGAACAAAAAATCAAAGGTTGTATTATACAATCCCAATCAAACCGAACAATTTGATTGCTTTTGTATGACTCCAAATGGGACAATTTAGATTCTACTGATCAGATAATACAATACCAATTATACTATACAATCAAAAAGATATTATAAAAGGAAGGAAAATGTTCATTTCAAATCACACCGTCTCCTCTCTTTTTTCTACTTGAGTCCATAGACTTTCAAATAGCAAGCAAGAGAAGTTGGCTTCTTCTTGGAGGCTCATCTAGATGATAGATTTCACTCTAAAGAAGATGTTGTCACTTACAAGAAGTATCAGGCAGTAACTATTACATAGTCCAAAATAATTAACCAAGAGAATCTGTCTTACTAAGTATTAGATCTATTGGTAGGGATCACACTTCAATTCATTCTTACCTTAGCCTTTTCCTGCAAAACACATCTTTTTCTATAAATTTTTACGAACCTTAGGATTAATACTAAACAACGACATCGCTCTAATACTTTGTATGTAAGCAACCCATATAAATCATTGATCATGACCTTCATGAACATCTCCATCTTTCTTAAACTAGAACTAAAACACATGACATTTCAAATGTAATCAACTATAATTGAATGCAAGGGAATCTCACCATTAGGAATAGCCCCATAAACCATCACCAAGTTCTTGTTATCACATTGGTGTTGAATGCACGTGTTATCCAACACGTCCTTCGACCTTTAATTATCCCTAAAGAAGGAGACACAATCAATATTACGCCACTTCTCTTTTTTTGTGAACATCTAGGCCAATTAAGACAAACTCACACAAATATTACATATATAAGACTCAAATCCAAAATCTCTTAATTGGTAGCTAAAACTCCTAACCAACAGACCAAATGAGCTGCTCATCTCCTTCACTCTCACAAAGGAGAGTTAGAAGTCCTTGCTCCTATTTTATTGGAAGTCAAAAAGTTCTTTTGAATTGTTATTATTGTCTTAGGAAATAGGAGAAGCAACATGGGTAGGAAACTATCCACTAAATAATTACAGTTTAATGTCTACCCTGATAATGATGCACGAAGAACAATACAATTTAGATTTATCATATTTGAAATTATTTTTAATAGAGATAATTTGAAGAAGGAAATCTCCTTAATATAGGAGAGCTTTAAGAATGTTTGAATGAGAAGAGGAAAAAATAAAAGAGGGAATTGAGAAGGGGGGGGATATCTAAAGCACATTTTTTATTTGATTTTTTCTCTCATCTGCAGGCTATCCTCGTAATTTCCCCCAAAAGACGGTTCCGGTGAAGTAACAGGTTAACGGCTACGTTCCGTTACACGAGAATTGGATGGATGCATCATGATGGCCCAACATGCATGCTATCATGCCATTAGGAGGAAGGAGTAGAAGGAGGCGTTATTCGATTTGACTATTTCGGAATTATGGCGCCTCTTTCCCGCACAATTATTTTCTCACCCAAAGCAATAAAGCGTATTATCTGCCACGTGGTCAATTTATCCACGTGGCTGCACAGGGATTCGCGTCAAGCTGGTGAAGGTGAAAATGCAGTGTAAGAAGAAATACACGTAGACTAGAAGAGATAAAGAAAGGTTGGGGAAGGGGAATGAGTCCGCAGACTAATCAAATCTAAGAGAATTTTGACGTCCGCAAGGACTTCATGAACGCTTACTCGCGCTTCTCTCTCTCTCTCTGTTCCACAGAACATTTTCGCTAAAATATAGTTAAATTAAGGGGAAAAAAATATAGTTAAATTAAGGGAAAAAAAAAAAAAAACAGGTGGGTGAGAGCTCGGCGAAGCCGGAGCAGTAATCGGCGGCAAGGAGAGGAACTCTAACCCTATAATTTGAAGCGGGAAGTGGAGCTAAGACTACTTTCCTGCGGAAGGTGAGAGGTCGGCGGCAGCAACTCCATTTCTATTGCTGGCTAGGAAGATTTTGTTCCCTCCTAGTTTTGATGGGAGGTTTTCGTTCTTATTGTTCTCCATTTGCTTAGCTATTACCATTAATTAACTTTGGCGGCCGGGTGGAAATTTTGGGTGGATTGGGAAGATGCCTGCGCCGAAATGTTTCCCTTCGGGTTTCAGCAGGCCGAGTGGACGAGTGGAAGGCGGAGGTCTATGCTGGTGTTTTTGGAAGGTTGATTATTTTTTTGGGAAGCGAAGGTATTCTTTCTGTTGCGCATTTTCCCGTATTTTAGAATATATGAATGCTGTTTTGTCTTACAGGACACCCATTTTCAACCCGGATTTTGGCTGCTAAATCTTTGACGTCATATGGCTTTTAGCTGTTAAGATCGTGCATCTTCTTTTTTCTGAATCCTGAAAGATGATTCCGTCTGGCTCACCTACTCCAATTGGTGGAGCTCAGTCAGTTGGTCCATCCCTTATGCGGACTAATTCCAGCATTCTTGGAGGAGCTCATAATAATTCCATCCCATCTCAAACCTCTTTCTCCTCTCTTGGAATGCCCCGAGCCCAATTTAACAGCAATGATTTGCTAAGCAACATCTCCAACGTGTCATCTTTTCTAAACCACTCGTTTGGGAACGAACTAGTTCCTTCAGGAGGATTTGACATGCCTCCATTGAATATAAAGCAGCAAGGAAGCACCGGAGCTGGAGTTACAGAGACCATTGGTCATACGGAGACTATTACCATACCTTTCACTACCTCATCTGGCTCAATATATGGACAGCAGTTTCAGAAACCCTCGACCAATCAGCATGGCTTGGATCATCCTCAGTCCCAGCAGCGTGATGGACTGCAAAAATTTCAGCATCAATTCTCACTTGCACGCAGCCAGCAACAGCAGCTCTTGGAAGGGTTGACTAACATGAACAATATGCCTTCAGTTAAGTTGGAGCCTCAGATGGTTTCTGGAGACCAGAATGGTTCAGTACAACAGTTGCAAGCTCTCCGAAATATGGGTACAGTAAGAATGGAGCAGCAACAGCTGCAATCTTTGAGGAGTTTAGCCCCAATTAAGACCGAACACCAACTCTCTGACCCTTCAGTTCTTTTGCAACAACAACCCCAACTCCTCCAGTTGTCTAGGCAATCTTCTCAGGCTGCAGCTCATATGAGTATTTTACAGCAGCAACAGCAACAACAACAGAGGTTGCTGCAGCTTCAGCAGCAGCAACAGCAGCAACAGCAGCAGCAGCAGCAGCAGCAACAGCAAATTGTTAATAACCTTCCCCGGCAAAGGTCACACTTGCAGCAACAGCTTCATCAGCAGAGTTTATCGGTTAGACCACAGGTGAAGCCAACTGGCTATGAACCTGGCGTCTGTGCTCGAAGATTAACCCACTATATGTATCACCAACAGCACAGGCCAGAGGTTGATGACATTACATTCTTTAAGTATTGAATCTTTCTATGTAAACATATGGATTGAATGAACCTATTTCAATTGTGCTATGTTCATGTTTTTATCTTATTGGTGCAGGACAACAATATCGAGTTTTGGAGGAAGTTTATCAATGAGTACTTTGCTCCAAATGCCAAAAAGAGATGGTGTGTTTCTCTTTATGGAAGTGTTCGCCAAACAACTGGCGTTTTCCCTCAGGTTGTTCAGCTAATGATAAAGCACGATTAATTCTCATTGTTTTTTGTGGCTTACTGTATGAGATGTTGACATTAAAGTCTTTGCTTTTCTTGCTGCACCTCGCCTTTTACTTCTTAGTGATAGCAGAAATTTTGATATAAATTTTGTGATTTTATTACTAGTTGAGTTTTTTTCATGATGTTTTTAAGGATGCGTGGCATTGTGAGATATGCAGTTGTAAGCCTGGCCGGGGTTTTGGTACGTATCATTTTCATCTATGCTCAAAAGTCTGGCATCACATTTTGGAGATGACTAAGGTTTCATTTGGGACAGCTTTCTTACTATTTCTTAAAGTAACTTTTTAGTACAGAAAATAAAATCTTTCCACTAGAAAGCTGCTTTAAGAAGCAGTAAGAAAGTCATCCCCAACAACGCCTAAATTTGGAAACTGATGCCTAAACTTCATTTATAATTTAAACTTATTTGTAACAGTACTGTTTTTGGCTCATAATAACAGAGACAACTGTGGAAGTTTTGCCTAGACTATGCCAGATTAAATATGCTAGTGGTACTTTGGAGGAACTTCTTTATGTGGACATGCCCCATGAATATTTGAATGCATCTGGTCAGATTGTCCTTGATTACGCTAAGGCAATTCAGGAGAGTGTTTTTGAACAGTTACGTGTGGTACGTGACGGTCAACTGCGGATTGTTTTTAATCAGGATCTAAAGGTAGTCATTACACTTATTCTCCTTTTACTCCAGATTAGTTGTTTGAACTTAATGTGGAAGCTTCAGCTGACTCTTGGTTGTCTTATAGATTGCTTCTTGGGAATTCTGTGCTAGACGTCATGAGGAACTTATACCTAGAAGAACAATAATACAACAGGTGTAATTTTTATAATGTCTAGATGTATTTTAACTTTGGAGACTAACTAGTCATTAGTGCCTGTTGTTGCTTTTTAAGCCTTCCTTTTGTACTTATTTATTTATATTTCATAGCTAAAATAACTTTTTTCATGCAGGTTAGTCAACTTGGGGCAGTTGTACACAAGTATCAAGCTGCTGCTCAAAATGCATCCAACTTATCCGCACAGGATTTACAAATTGCTTGCAATTCGTGAGTCTTCTACCTTTTCCTATGCTCGCATATATGAGTGCTGATGCAAATCTACGTGATGTCCCAGGCAGTTTGAGTTTGTTCTGTAAGCATTTGAAAATTGCAAAGAGGTTTCCAGTTTAAAAGAAAATGGATGAATCTAACGGGAATGACCATCTTTCAATTCCTCAATAATTAACACAATTATCATCTCTCCAGATTTTATCTGCCTATTAAACTTGTCTTCATTTTTTGTTAATTTTTTAAATGATGGGTTACCTTGAAGTATGTTACTGTATTCTCTGGTATACGTTTTCATGGACTAAAGGAAGTCCTGGCGTTTAATCATGTGGTTTTAACTTAAGTCATTCATTGAATTCATAGGTTGAGGGGCTGTAGGATTGGAAGTTAAATTAATGTAGCATCTCATATGCACTAATTTTGATATGATATTTGTTAGGGTTTTTTGGAATGATCAATACTGTAATTTTAGAATTGTGCTAATGAACCTACTGGGTGATCGTTGTGTTCTAGTAACTTGTTTTGTTTACTATTTTTCTTTTTCTCCATTTGTACTGTTGAAATTTGTCACATTGGATAGTAAATCTTATTTCATTGATGTTTCATGCAAATGTGCACTAGGTTTGTTGCATCTGCCCGTCAATTGGCCAAAGCTCTAGAAGTTCCATTGGTAAATGATTTGGGATACACAAAAAGATATGTACGTTGCCTTCAGGTAGGTCACTAAGTATTTGCATCTTAACTTGGTTCCATCTTTGGTCATCTGATTTAGGTCTATTTTTCAAATTAATTTATAGTATTTTTTTCGGTTTGTTTATTAATTGCTGATGCATGATTTTTTTTTTTTTTCGATTCTGTTGAAATTAGTATTGAGATTTGTATGATGAAACATCGATGCCTATATGTCATTTTGCAATGAAGTCCGCAATGTCTTCAGTTAGGAGAATCCGAGCTACCTCGAAGCGCACAGCTGCAGAAACTGCCTGTGCATATCATCTATGTAGGATGTCACTTGCATTTCATCTACAATAAGCATTGGCTAAAGTTTATTTTGGTAAACATCCAGTCATTTGTTTAACAGTACTTACATTTAGATTTGACGTCCATTTTTGAACGTTTTGTGCAAAATTTATGCTGCATGGAGCAGTGAACTTGTGCCTTGTTAAGGAGTAGTAGAACTTCGCAGAGTAACACACTCTTAGAGGGATACTCCTTGTAGGTGGACATTGGCACCTTCTATAAATGGTTTAGATGCCCCTTCAATTTTCTAGGAGGAATAAATTGGTAACCTAATTCATCACCATCTATTGGAGTTGGTTTTGAAGTGGATTTGCATCGCACGTGGAATACTTAGCTTAATAGAACTGAGCTAATCAAACACCAATAGAGCCTTTTGATATGCAAATAGTGGAGTATAATTTCTCAATTTGACCATGGTTAACTTGAAATTATATGAGTTTTTTTTTTCCTTTGTTTTGTGATGCTAGAGGATTGTCCATTATCTTTTTATTTTGGTTCAACTAATGTACTCATAAAATTAAATTTTAATTAATTTGGCGATGACTTGAACATCAATCTTGAGATGGTGATAATAGCTCATTGATTTTTTAGAGGATCCATGACATCTATTGAAATCTAAAAATCCTTGAATTGAATGAAAGTTTATTTATAATTTTTGTGAAGTGTGTATTGAACTTTTTTCAAAACTTTCCTTGAAGATATCAATAATGGATAGTGCAGATTAGGCCCTCTCATGATAAACTTATATTGAATGATGCTTTTGTTGGGTTGACCCAACTAATTACCTGAACTAAGGCTAAACCATGTGATTGATGGTGGTTTGACAATGGTCGTCGCTGACAATATCTTTGATCAATGATCTGAATACATAATTTCATATCTCAAGCTAGAAACATATTAGCGGTGACATATTGAAGCTTCAATGGCTAGTGACAATGCCCCACCTTTAGTATGGATTGGTACCCTCCTTTAAAGGGCATTATTTCTATAATCCATTCGAGAAATGTGACCTATGGATTGCGATGAGTTTAGGGAGCCCCAAAATTTTCAGGATAATTTTCTCAATTCAAATTGTGCTCAAGGCTATCAAATGCCAATGTTATATCACTTTCGATGAGAGCTTTTAAGGGGAAAGGTGGAATTCCTCATTATCCATGACAAGGAGGTCATAGTGGTTATGGGGATATTTATCAAATAAGCTCTATGTAGCGAACTTATTATACTATCTCAAAAGATAAAAATATAATTTCCAATACACTCATATAATGAATACAAATTTTGTTTAAAAAAGATTTTTGTAATTGAGTGCTGCATAAAGAATAATATACTACTTCAAGAATAGAATTAAAATTTTTTTATGGACTTGAAAATAAAAATTCTTATGATTTTGAAAAGAGAATTTTTAAAAGGAGCATGGGACATTGCATATTTAAGTGGAGAAGCACGGTTACTAGAAAATTTGTAAAGAAGCAGATACGCTAAAGTATGTGGCGTATTCCTTGAAATATTATAATGAAATGCTTTGATTCATATGAAATTAAAGTAATTATTAGAAATTAATTTTCACATTAATAATATATAATTATAATATTTTCTAATGCTTAATAATTTAATATATATTAATTTCTTGGAACATGAACTTATGCCTATCATCTAGTTATGGGAAAAATATTATATTAGCTAAAAAAATATTATGCGCTTTTGTTAATGTTTAAAGTATAAATAAAATATCCTTGGCATTGATATTAAAATATATTGACATATTAAAAAATTGACTATCAACAATAATACATTACAAGCAATATTGTTGAATATAATACCTCCAAATTTTATTTAAGATTTATGTGTATCATCTTATTTTGGTAGCATGTCACGATTGTTGTTATATTTTTTAGGAGAGTTGTGTATTGCGGAGGAGTTCACACCGACATGTATTGGTGGAAGAAATTAGCGGCTCCTCGTAGATGAGAATATCTCACTTGCAATGTTGAAACAACGAATTATGTGTGCACTTAGGATAAATTCAACAGCAAATTGTTAACCTAACATGTGGCCTCCGTTATAATGGTGACTATTGTGCGACACATGTCACTGATGATGAGGTTTGTGAGTTCATGTTGATGGAGGGTAGAACTCATATTGTAGTGTACATGAAGGTTGAAGAAATAAGAAAATGTCGATGTTGTCAATCCATCAACTCAAGTGCATATGTGAGTTTTAACAACCCTATTTCATGCTGCTTAATTGGGTACCTTCTTGAACATTGATGACCCTAAATAAAATTTAATTTAACGTAGGCCCACTACAACATCTGTTGACTTACGGGACGGTGGAAGAGCGAATATGATAGATGTGGAATATGACTTTCATGGTCGCCTTAGTTTGTCCGAGCAACCAACATTTGTGCAATTATAGTTGTCTTCATGTACTAGTGTGAGTGAACGTCCATGTTTGATTAGATCTAATTATAATACATTTGAAGACAATCAGATGTCCGGGCCATACATATAGTAGACCTCCTAAAATAAAAATATCATGACAAATGGTTACGAGGTGGATAACGACGAAGTAGATGCATACAAAATTATGGATAATGGTAATACTGATTCATCTCATGGTGATAGTCAACCTGAATCAGATACACTTGAATCCATGAAGAATTATAACAATGAGAAAAATAATGGTATGGAATTCATTGGATATCATACACGATGAAACCTAGCTGGGTTAGAGGCGATAGTTGCAAATAATGAATTCACAGAAACCGTTCAAATCACTCAACAATGGGATGGTGACGAACAATTTGATGTTCTAATGTGAATATAGTTAGCTCATCAGAAGCAAATATTTCAACTGAATTATATGAAGGTCAAATTTTTCATACTAAGGAAGACCTTCAAGTTATGCAGAATGCTCACTATGTCAAATCAACTTCCAACAAGAGTCGTCTCACTATCACATGTGCCCAACATGACAATCCGCATAGGTCATGCCTTTGGCGCTTATATGCAGCACAAAGTAAAAGACTAGGTGGTCTTTAAAAAGTAGCAACATGTGGTCATCCACATACCTGCACCCACTTTATAATGGTTGCTGGCCATCACAATTGCACTTCTAAGTTCATATGCAAGCACATCATGCCAATCATACGCCAACAACTTGATATGAAGCCAAAGGAGATAATTGTTAGAATGGAGTCAAACTTTGAAATAAAGATCTCATACATTAAGGTGTAAGATGAACATAGAAAAGCTATTGAAGCAACATTTGGTAGCTACAAAGATTCTTACCGTTCTCTACTCCGTTTCATGGAAGCTATACACTTATCCCAACCAGGCACAGTCTACAATGTTCAGTTGGTTGGAGGCGCATGATTCAAGGCACTATTTTGGGCTTTCGGTCCATCCATCTATGGGTGGCAAGAGTGTTGGCCTGTGCTTAGCCTGAATGGGACTTTCTTGCTTGGAAAGTATCATGGGACCCTCCTTTTAGCTGTAGGAATCGATGGGAATGGTGGACTATTTTCGTTGTCTTCCATAGTTGTTGAATCAGAGAGAAACGATTTATGTGTTTGGTTCCTACAAAACCTACATGATTTACTTGGAGTAATGAAAGGAGTAATGAATGAGCGTGCTAATTTGTGCATAATATCTAATAAGTATCCAGGCCTTACAAGAGGATGCCGGAAAATTTTCCACAATGCAGTTCATAGATACTATCTTCGTCACTTGCATGAAAACTTTTAAAAATGTATACATCGACTAGCTATTCCCGACAATGAAGGTCTTAGCAACAATATGTACTTAGCCGGAAATATGGAGGGCATATCATACTTCAATCGCATGATGAACCACATAATAACTGTTAAGCAAGAAGCCTATGACTGGTTGATACAACATGATGTAAGTAAGTGGCTGTTGTTGTTCGAGGATGGATGTCGGTATAGCATTATGACTACCAATGCCTCAAAATGTTTTAATGTAGTTCTTAAGCGTGCTCGTGGCCTTCCTGATGTAGGATCCTGCACAAAATGGTTTCTAGCAGCAAGAAAAGATCAATGAAACAATAAATGTGTTTGTATAACTTTCAAAAACTGAGTAGTTCTTCTCCTTCCCTACCTTAAGTAATGCCTTCTCCACTCAAAAACTATACTAAAGAAATTACTGAAATAAAAAAGAGCACCTGAGCTCTAACGGCCTAAAGCAATAATTAAAGGAATATTCTAACTAACTGTCATACTTGGGATATGATGGTCCGCAGGTCCAACGCTCCAAAGATGCTCCGCATCACTTCCAATATAAGGTTTGGTTATGGCTATCTACAATAACCTATCTCATTATTCATGAGCGGTCCGCAAAAGCTGATAAATGATTAGAGGTAGGGGAGTTTAACTTTCTTTCCCATACAACAATTCTGTTACAATGAGCCGAACGTGAAGCACGTAGGTGCCCTGAACCAATTATGTAAACAGAAAAGAATTTGAAGTTGTGGATACATCATCCCGATTACATAAAGTAGAGATACTAACATCAGACACTTGTACATGCACATACATGAAACCACAATTATATCATGTGCCCTTGTGTTCATGTGCTAGTGGTTGCCGGGTTTAGGCGATGGGATCATAATGCCTTCATATCAAAATACTTCACCCTAAACTCATATAGGGCAACGTACTCCAAATTATTCCATGTT